CAGAAAGGTCAAATCTCTTGTCATTTAATTTTATTTGTTATAATCCATAATACTAAATGTAGATTGTACCTAATACCAAGGCCACTGTGGTTAATAATTGATTGAAGGTGAAAAAAATTGCATTACTCGCATCCACAAAGAAATGGGAGTACAGGCATGAGGGAGAGAAAAACAGGCAACAATGACATTATTGATAGAAAACAAAAGAAAAACATTATCCTTAGTTCCTATCATTCAACTGACCACATTTTAATCACTTGTATTTTCCCCAATAGTTAATTTGGTGAAATAAATATTCTCTCTAGCCTTGTCATTAAAAGTTACTGGCTCTGGGGGGTTGGGTGGTTAAGGTGCTGGACTTCCATATGGCCAACTATGGTTCAAGTCCTGGACCTGGTGGCTTCCTTTCTCACTTTCCCTTTCTCTGTCTCTCTCTGGTCAAATAAATAAATAAATAAATAATAATAATAAGTGGAATTAAATAAATAAATAATTTTTAGAAAAAAAGTTACTGGCCCTAAACATGTGGGTATTGCCCCTGATGCCATAATATAGAGATATGTAAAAGATTGCTCAGTCAGAAACCACCTGTCTCATTAGTCAGCTTTACCAGTATTATGATTTGTTATATTTTTGTTGTTATGAACTGATTACCTTTTCAAATAAAATTACCCATGCCTTACAATGTTTTGATAATACTACAATAGATGTTATGGACAATTCTGAATAATTTTCTGCCAAACTAGAGACCTGGATGAGCCAAGTGAAGCTGTGGGCCAGGTGGGGATGAGATGGGCAGGACCAGCCACACTGGCACGACAGTTTTTTTTTTGGGGGACACCCGCGCCCGTGTGCCGCAATGTTTTTTTTTTTTTTTTTTTGCATCAACATTTGCCAGGGAAGGAAGGATGTCATCAGCATGCATCTCAGGGGATGAACCTTGTCACTTGACCTCCTGGATTAAAAATGGGCATTGATTTAGTCATAGTTGTGGTGTCAAAAAATAAAACTTAACGAAGCTAAGGCCAGCCCCATATCCTAGTGATTAAGGGAGCTGGATCCCAAGTGTCTGACTGTAGCTTGAATTCCAGCACCAGTGATTTGAAAAACACTGGGCATGTAGGTATGCATTCCCCAAATCCTGACAGAATGGAAAAAAGGAATAGAAGGAAACAGATGGTGGTGCAGCAGTGAAATACAACACTCAGTGAGGCTGACCCACATGGGAAGGTTCCGGGTTTATGTCTGGAGACCTTCCTAAGTACCCCAAGCACTCACGTGCCCATGATCTGGGGCTGGTTAAGATTGGGGGTGGATAATGGTGTCAAAACCTTGTTGGGGGTATGTATCCCACCCACCTGTTTCTCTCACTCATGGAAGAAATAAATAAACTTTTTAAAAAGATTTTTTGCCATAGCACACATGCACTCTCTAGAGAGAGACACAGAGACAGTAAGAGGGAAAGTGAGAAATAAACTTGTAAAAAAATCATTTGGAAAAAAGTTGAAATTTAACACATTAGTAAATATAATGGAAAAATAAAATGTTCTCATAGATCATAGTTTCTTCTTCATAATCCTTTCTCCCTAGCTAATCATTTGTCAAGTTTTATTTTTTTCAGTCTATAAAGATTGTTGGGGGGTTAGGTTACATCATGGCTACTACTTCATTTACCATTTTTCGTAATGTGATTTATCTACTCTTTGACCAAACAATAGCAGACCTAGGATATGGTAGGACCAGGCAAAGAGGAACCTGCAAGGAGCCTGTAATTTAGGGTGCATGATAAGAATCTTATCCATGGGGATGTTCACAGATGAGAGAGTGGTATGTGCAATCAGACTCGCCCTGTGGGTTTGCACTTGGAAGAATGGGAAATATATGTAATTTGGAGCACGAAAGACTAGATAATAGTTAAGGGAGCTGGATCCCAAGTGTCTGACTGTAGCTTGAATTCCAGCACCAGTGATTTGAAAAACACTGGGCATGTAGGTATGCATTCCCCAAATCCTGACAGAATGGAAAAAAGGAATAGAAGGAAACAGATGGTGGTGCAGCAGTGAAATACAACACTCAGTGAGGCTGACCCACATGGGAAGGTTCCGGGTTTATGTCTGGAGACCTTCCTAAGTACCCCAAGCACTCACGTGCCCATGATCTGGGGCTGGTTAAGATTGGGGGTGGATAATGGTGTCAAAACCTTGTTGGGGGTATGTATCCCACCCACCTGTTTCTCTCACTCATGGAAGAAATAAATAAACTTTTTAAAAAGATTTTTTGCCATAGCACACATGCACTCTCTAGAGAGAGACACAGAGACAGTAAGAGGGAAAGTGAGAAATAAACTTGTAAAAAAATCATTTGGAAAAAAGTTGAAATTTAACACATTAGTAAATATAATGGAAAAATAAAATGTTCTCATAGATCATAGTTTCTTCTTCATAATCCTTTCTCCCTAGCTAATCATTTGTCAAGTTTTATTTTTTTCAGTCTATAAAGATTGTTGGGGGGTTAGGTTACATCATGGCTACTACTTCATTTACCATTTTTCGTAATGTGATTTATCTACTCTTTGACCAAACAATAGCAGACCTAGGATATGGTAGGACCAGGCAAAGAGGAACCTGCAAGGAGCCTGTAATTTAGGGTGCATGATAAGAATCTTATCCATGGGGATGTTCACAGATGAGAGAGTGGTATGTGCAATCAGACTCGCCCTGTGGGTTTGCACTTGGAAGAATGGGAAATATATGTAATTTGGAGCACGAAAGACTAGATAATAGTTTTGCCAGCCACTCCTAGGCATGTGATGACCTTTTCCAGTTTGTCATTTATACAACGGAGATTGGCCTAGCTCTGGTGGCACAGTTGGTAAGGTGCCACTCTGCAATGCCAGAAGTCCCATGAAAGATGAGAGATTCAGATCCTGGGTTGACCCCAACATGCTGGTATTCAGGCACCTATGATCCTGGCTGGCTGGGAAGCTGAGGGGTAGGGACTGTGACATAACAGAACCCCCTAGAAGGTGTTTCTCTCTTTCTATCAATAAAATAAACTTTAAATTGGAGATAAAGGGCTAGAAGGTGGCATGGAGGTTAAAGCACAGGATCCCACATGGCTGGCCACGTGGCTAGAGTCCCAGGCCCAGTGGCTTGAAAAATCATGCACATGCATGCCGAAAATCCTGAGAAGAGAATGGAGGAGAAGGGATTGCAGCATGGCTATCCACCCAGGAGGTGATTTCTCACTTTCTCTCTTTCTGTTTCTCTTCTGTGAGCACATGCATCCTATAGCAAAAACTGAATAAACAAAAACAAGAAAAACAACACCCCCCCCAAAAAAAAACCCCACCTGTTTTATAAGGTAAAGAAGATTAAATGAGATTGTGTGTGAAAGCACATTTTCCATTGTAAAGTTTTGTATGTGTGTGCACGTCTTGTGTCTATCACTGCCATTTTTTCTCTTTGGCTACTGAGGGGGTCATTGGGGCAAAAGGACTGTTACACAATATATGGATGGACTGATTGCAAAGAAAGGAGTTTAAAATAGCTTGTTGCAGTTTTGGGGCTCAGAGCGATGCCATCTTTTGTCCAGCGAAGAGCCCTGAACCCATAGAAATAGCCAGATGCTTGGGGAAATAATAAGATCCTCATTATGTTCTCTGATACAGTGTATAAATACTTTATTTTTGGCTCCATGGGGTCTCACACGGTGACATCTAAATTTCTTTTTAAAGCTCAATTCACTTAAACAGTACATTAACAGGACTTCGCAGGGAACCCCAAACTAAGACGAAGCGTAATTATCTGCTGACTGCTTAAACTCCCAGAAAGTTGGTTGGTTTTCTTTTTACAGACTTGAAAACATGTCAACTGCTTCCATTTGCAATGCATTCAGCTGCAGGGAACAGAAATGTGTCTTTAGGGGCTCATACAAATTGGAGCTTCTTTTTGTTGTGTAACAAGAAGACTGGTATGTGATGGTTGCTGGTGACAGTTCAGTGGTTTGACCATGGTGTTAGGAACTCAGACATTGGACTCACTTTCAGCCAGTAGATAGGTTTTAATACTGCTCATGGTTGTTTAATACTTCTACTGAGGGAAATTTTATGTAAGGGTACTTTGAGAGACTGGAGAAGTTAAAAAAAAGAAAAGTAGTGTTAAAAATAGTGAGCATGTGGGGCTGTCAGGTGGCATGGTGGTTAGGAGTGCTAGACTCCCATATGGCCAACTGTCGTTTGAATCCCGGACCTGGTGGCTTGCTTTCTCACTTTCTCGCTCACTCTGTCCCTCTCTGGTCAAATTAAAATAAATAAATAAAGTTAAATAAAATAATTCTTTAAAAAAATAGTGGGCATGTTCCTTAGGATTTTTCACTGTTCTGTTTCCAAAATGCTGTGCCTGGTTCTTGGTCCTGGGACTTGTCATATTTAAAATGATGTTTTCTCTTTGTTTTGTTGTCTCTTTCACTCTGGGGTCAAAATCATTATCACCAGTAGAGGCAGTAGAGCAGAATGAGCACACACGCTGGGCCCTGGTCAATCTTCCGCCATTTTTGACCTACAAAAAGGGCAGTGTTACGTAGTTTAACGTAATAGTATAATTACCATCACTGGTGACTGTTTATTAAGTGCTGATTATTAAATAAGTGTCACAGCTCCCAAGTGACCAAGCTAGGACTCAAACACTATCTGATGTCAGTATGCCTGCTGAAAAGCCAGTGCCATGCTGCTTCTCCCCAGTTTTTACTGAACACTCCTCATCTTCTGGCCTCCAGGTAATAAAGCTAAAGATAGACTTTAATTACTTTCAAACTTTGCTATACTACTCAGAATATGCAAGAGAATGCAGCCAGCATCTTCGGAAAGATTAGGAGAGCAGTAAGATACCTTAGCCACCTCCCAGCTGACATTTGAGCCCTGCTTTCCGCACGGTCAAGCCTTTCGGAGGCAGCCAGCGTATGGCTTGTATCAAACTCTATATTTAGGAAGAACAACTGTGAGGTATGACAGGAATTCTCTTTAACACTTAGCCTTAAACTGAGTTCCCCTCTAGCCCCGAGCCAGGAGCAGCTCTGAGTACCAGGAGAGGCACAGAGCACTCGAGCTATTTCAGCCACATGAAAAGCATCAGAATTGAGATCGCAGCTCAGAGGACACCGGGCATCCCTTCTACCCTCCAAGGCGCTTTTGTATTCTTGCACCTGGCTGCCTAGGACTTTCCTTAGGCAGTAAACAAATACCTAAAGCAGGTAAGCAGAAGGACCCAGCTCTGGCAACTGGGCTTTCTGAAAGCAATTTCTTTGACACTTAACTTGAAGTGACTACTTATAACTTTGTAGACTTGTAACTAGTGGGGATAGCTTCCTTGTAAATTCACTGTTCATTGTTGATATTGCTTGCTTCTGTTGCATAAGATGTGTGTCGGGGGGTGCTGACAGAATATTGAGCTGATGGTGGTGCTGGTTCATAGTGACTTTAACAAAATGTCCACGGTTTAGATATGATAACTGTGACCTTGAAGTTGTGCTGGCCAGAATTATAGTCGGTCAGCTGTGGACTGATTTAGGTTCTAAGCTGAGAAATAATCTGGAGAATTTGGGACAGAGAAAAGCTATAATGCTAACTCTTTAGTTTCCCTAAATATATAAAATATTTCCAGAGTTGTTACAAAGTATAAGCATAAAATACTGTTCTTTCCCCAAGCACCGGGCTTGATCTCAGGGACAAAGATCTACTAATATCTTGTACATAGATAGAACTATCTTTTCGGAAGCTTCACTTTGGCCATGGTTTTCCCATGCCCAGCAGGGTAGAGGGCAGCACTGACTGTCCCTTTCCGTGTGGGCACCAGGCTCTGAAGCTTGGGAATGCGGAGAACACCTCTTCCCTCTCAGCATATTTAAGGCAGAGTGAATAAGGAGTTAGTCAGTTCAGACAGCTGAACATCTTTCTACACCCTTCTAGGAATTATTTTTAGCTGCAGGACAGAAGATAATTCCCTTCGAGATAGAGCTTTACCCATTTACTTGACCTTTAAAAAGAACAAACAAAACCCTTCTCTCCAAATATTGATTTATTCTCCTCTGAATCCTTTCTTATCAAATTAGTGATATTCATGTGGACCAATTTAGGAAGTTGAAGATTTTTATTTAGAAGTCAGACATTAGGTGCTGCCCCATGTATGTGAGTCAGCATATAGACCATTAAAGGTCCCCACTGACTTGCAGAACTGCCAGGAAAACTCAACCGTACTCAAGCTGGCAAACATTCCATTGTACCACAGGCTTTGCAAAAGTCAATATGTGCCTTGTCAAACTTGCCATGTTTCTGAAGTTCAGCTAGAACTATGAGCCACAGTAATTGAGTGCTGTAAAGGGTACCTCTTTGGATGATAAGCTGTGGCCCCAGTGAGAGTGAACTGTGCTTAGCTTTCTTTTTTGATCCTGGGACAAAGCATGTAGATGAAGAAAGAAGGTGCTTCTTACACTCTACATCCCTGATGGAGGTGAATGCAGGGCCAGGGAAACAGCCAGGGAACACTGTCTATTTTTATTCATCAGTGTGCTTTGCCCTGATTTCTCTGCGAATAATGAGGACAGCAGGAACTGCTGCTGAACTGATTTACACGAATGTTATCTGGTCTGTTTGTGAGGACTGTGAACTGGGATCAGACCAACTTTCTGTAGATGTCTCTATTGAAGACGGACATGTGTGTAAAGAGGGGATTTGTACGTAAATGGAAGGTATCAAGACAATACAGGAGACAGGGCCTATCTGCCTGCTCGGCTCAGAGGTCCACAAGAAAGAAAGCAGTCCAGTAGTATACTCCGTTCAGTAAAAAGACAAAATCAGATTTTTAAAAAAAGTCAGCACAGTATAAATAACATCATCATTCACTGCCTGGTTTTTTTTCACACTTCAATCTGCTATTGAAATAATGTAAGAAATGTCATAATTTCTACGTTTCAAATCAATATACTATAACTTTTAAATAGTTCTCAAGTTCCTAACTTTTAAACAGCTCTGAAGTTATTAAACTTTAGTTGTACACACATGGAGAACACTAAGATATTTAAAATCATGTTTGAATTATTGCTTTGCATGACTTCTTCTTTTGAGGAATAGAAACATTAAAAATTAAGCCATCAAGTTTTTTTTTTTAATTGAACTGCATGTCCTAGATTCAAAAATTAAAAATCCTTCATTTCTCTTTGTCGCTGCAGGAAAGACAGCAATCTATCTGAGACATATCATGGAACAAAACACACCCTTAATATAACAATTTTTTGTTGCTTTTTAATTTTTTAAATGACATTTAAAAAAAAAACAATTGTCCTTAGACTTTTTTTTTTTTGAAAGGTTTTTGCTATAGTGCACATGTGCTCGCCAGAAAGACAGAGAGAGAGAGAGAGAGAGAAACAGAAAGCGAGAAATCACCCCCGTGGGGGATGGCCATGCTACAATCCCTTCTCCTCCATTCTCCTCTCAGGATCTTGGGCACGCACACACACGTGCCCAGCGTGAGTTTAAGCCAGTGGGTCCGGGACTCAAATTGTGGTCAACTACATGGGAGTCCAGCGACATAACTGCTGTTCTCCATATCTTTAGACTTATACATGGAGGTTATACCTATATATTACCAAAACATTCAGTGAAACTTTTTACAAAAGTCCCATTGTTTTCTTGTATTTGGCTCCAAAAGGCATTTAGATACACTAATCATGGACGTTTTTGAAAAAATATAGGTTTGGGGAACCAGCAGTTAGTGTAATGGCTGTCGCTGGATTGCCACGTAGTCGACCGCGGTTCGCGTCCTGGACCCGGTGGCTTAGAACTCACGCCGGGCGCATGTGCGTGCG